GAAATTTAAATATTGCGCATTTGAAACGCGCTTTTAACAAAAGTGAATACCTTGAGGAAATTTTTGAGGCGAAATACCCAAAAAGGAGTTCGTTTAAATGTGTTTACATGACGCAATTAGCTGATTTTGCGTTTCGTTGTAAAAGGAAAATATCTGATTCCAGAAAGAATTTTTGGGGGTTTCATATTAGGAGATACTATGCACAAGTTGGTCTAATGTAGTTGATTCTAGAAGGTGAATCCTACGGTAAAATTGACGAGGAAGAAAAGAGTATGCGCTCAGTTGGAATTTAAATGGGAAACCGATGGGGAGTTAAGAGAGAAGAAAATGAGCAAAAGTTGGAGGCGAGTGGAAAAATAAAGACGATGAGTTGAAGAGATTGTTAAAATGCAATAAAATATCTGGCTCCCAAGCTCGGGCATATTGCAGGATTGTTATTTCATAGTATTATACAACAGTGCCCCTTCCCCGGTATGTTGTGAAAGTACGGGCGATTTGCGCCCCACGTTGATCGCCGAGACGAGTCTCCTTGGCGAAGTTGTTGGTGAAAGCAAATGCTTGCTTTGAACAAGCAGCTGAAGCAGCCGCCAATGCGAAATACGAGTGCTAATCCGTTCGTACGGAGCGTTAAGGTTAAGCATTACCGAAATAGATCGTGCTCGGGCCTTTATAGTCCAGCAGCTGCGGCGAAGCAGCACCCGAATGGATTGGAAGCCGCCAAGCCGCTGTTTAGCCTTGAAATCCGCGAAGAAAGAACGAGTTGCGAGAAGAAGTAGAGAGTGGGAGGAAGAAAAGAGGGGAAAGTAAAGGGAGAAATTCAGGCGATCCACTAAACCCGACTTATTTTAAGTTAATTGTAAATTTTAGTCGGCTAGGGCGCGCTTATTCGGTTCCGTCCATCAGGAGTCCGGGACTAGCTGAGTAGCTTGAATGAATACTGACCGTCGTCGCGTTGTGAAGGCTCGTTCTATTCGTTCACTTTTACTTTCATTTGTTGGGCAACCGAGCGCACTGCAAACCTGTGCCCCAAAAATATATACACTCGACGCGAAGGCAGCGACGGATTGTGTAGTGTTTGTGGAGCCATGGCTCGGTGTTTAGGTGGTGTTCCTGGTGCTCACCCCCGCGGCTACCCCTTGGATAACGCTGTTCCGGGTGCCCTCATTTAGGAATATTCATTTTTCCCGGTAAGATCCTCCTTTCCCGCGCTCATTTCTCAATCAACCCAATCAACCACTTGTCGATTTTCTCCTGCTGCTCTGCTGCAATCTCATGGATTGCGCATTGTTCAGGCGCGCCTCGTGCAACTCCAACAACACTTTGTTGGACTGCTTTCGACCCGATATTATGTAACTTTGCATTTCTATTTCTTACATCACCATTCAGTTTAAATAGAAAAGTTGCCCAATCTTTATAATGCAATTAGCTCGCCATATTGTTGCAAATCTATATTTAATCTCCGCAGCTCCAAACTCTCGCACTCTTTTCGTCATTCATTTAATTGTCTCTATTAATACTTAACCAATTTTACAACCTCAACGCACACTAGGCACCATTTCCACGTTTCCCATTTCCACATCATTCAGTCCAATGCCACACATTCCTGATTTTATTTTTTTCACCAGGCCTACAATTTCCACTTCAATCGCTCCTATGGGACGCCAACGTCCAAATTAACAATTTAGTGGTTCGCGTTCATTCATTCTGTAAAATAGATATAGGTACTCTAATATTTTCCTTAAAATAGAGCTAAATTTTAAAACAATTTCTGCTACTTCCAGTGGAACTTTTTTAATAGCTGAGCGTTTTCTTTGCCCTGTATATATTAGAATACTTGTTTTCACTCATACTGGAAGCTATTCCACATTGCCTATTTCAACGTCGTTCAGCCTATTCAGCGCACTGCCACACATTCCTGATTTTATTTTTTTCGCCAGGCCTACAATTTCTACTTCCATCGCTCCTATGGGACGCCAACGTCCAAATTAACAATTTAGTGGTTCGCGTTCATTCATTCTGTAAAATAGATATAGATACTCTAAAATTTTTTGTTTCAATTCAGTTAAATTTTGAAACAATTTCTGCAACTTCCAGTGGAACTTTTTTAATAGCTGAGCGTTTTCTTCGCCCAAGTATATATTAAAATACTTGTTTTCACTCATATTTGAAGCTATTCAACATTGACTATTTCAACGTCGTTCAGCCTATTCAGCGCATTGCCACACATTCCTGATTTTATTTTTTTACCAGGCCTACAATTTCTACTTCAATCGCTCCTATGGGACGCCAACGTCCAAATTAACAATTTAGTGATTCGCGTTCATTCATTCTGTAAAATAGATGAAGGTACTCTAATATTTTTTGTTTCAATTCAGCTAAATTTTGAAACAATTCGTGCAACTTCCAGTGGAACTTTTTTAATAGCTGAGCGTTTTCTTCGCCCAGTATATATTAGAATACTTGTTTTCACTCATACTGGAAGCTATTCAACATTGCCTATTTCAACGTCGTTCAGCCTATTCAGCGCACTGCCACACATTCCTGATTTTATTTTTTTCACCAGGCCTACAATTTCTACTTCAATCGCTCCTATGGACGCCAACGTCCAAATTAACAATTTAGTGGTTCGCGTTCATTCATTCTGTAAAATAGATATAGATACTCTAAAATTTTTTGTTTCAATTCAGCTAAATTTTGAAACAATTTCTGTAACTTCCAGTGGACCTTTTTTAATAGCTGAGCGTTTTCTTCGCCCAGTATATATTAGAATACTTGTTTTCACTCATACTGGAAGCTATTCAACATTGCCTATTTCAACGTCGTTCAGCCTATTCAGCGCACTGCCACACATTC